ACAGCTCTTTGTGAATGCTTTCGCCTATTCATTATATTCATGAAGGTATTTTCTTAAAAACACACTGAAATTAAACTACAGATCTCAAATCAAAAGAGAAAAAGGTTTTTTTAAAGCCACTAATAAAATCTCTCATTTAAAAGGAATTTTAAAAACTTAATATAGACAAAAATTCCATTTTTAGCAATTTCATGGGGTCCTTTTTAAAAAAGAATTTCATTTTATTGAATTAAATATAATTAAAAGTTACTTCAATGTTAAGAATCATCCCATCCTAGAGCCAGGGTAGCTATGGAAACTCTTCATTTACTGTTCTTTTCCTTGCTTTCAGCAGGCAATATTGAATACTTCAATGTCCACTTTTCTATTGATAAAAGTATTCTAATAGTCACCAATTTTCACTTACCAATATGCATCTCATCCACACTAATCTTTGGTGTCAAAATTCAACATAATCCCTGAAAGACTTGTACCCAGAGACAGTAAACTATTAAATACATATCAATTTACTGGTTCACTCTAGATTTGTTCTAGGCAAGTTTCCTAGACATACTTGAATCTATCTAAACAGCCCACCCGTTCCCGCCAAAATTAAGGAAAGAATAATTCTGACCAGACACCACTAAGATGGTCTTATATAAATTTAAAAATTGGCTGAGCACAGTGGCTCATGTCTGTAATCCCAGCACTTTGGGAGGGGGAGGCAAGAAGACTGCCTGAACCCAGGGTTCAAGACCAGCCTGGGCAATTTGACAAGATATCCTCTCTACAATTAAAAAAAAAAAAAAAAACCCAGGTGCAGTGGCACACGCCTATAGTTCCAGCTACTTGCAAGGCTGAGGTGGAAGGATCACTTAAGGCTAGCAGGTAGAGGTTGTGGGAGCCATGATCATGCCACTGCACTTTAGCCTAGGCAACAGAGTGAGACTTTGTTCAAAATAAATGAATGAACTTAAAAAATTTGCCTCAAAAGTAGTATATATGATGGTATATCATATATATTAACTAAAATAGATTTAAGTAGTGAACAACTTGGGACATCCTCATCAACCAAACTTTGAGATGTACTGCCCTTGTCAGAGAAAAACTAGTTACTAGAACTGTACACGGGTTTAACAGAAGTAGTTGAACAGATACATGAAAAGAGATATGGTAAGCCGGGCTTGGTGGCTTAGCCTGTAACCCCACGCCTTTGGGAGGCTGAGGTGAGTGGATTGTCTGAGCCCGTGGGGTTTGAGACCCCGCTTGGGCAGGCGAGACCTCATCTCTACAATAAATAAAAAAAAAAATTAGCCGGGCGTGGTAGCGCGCACCTGTAGTTCCAGCTACTTGGAAGGCTGAGGCGGAAGGATGGCCAGAGCCCAGCAAGTAGAGGCTGCAGTGGCCGAGAACGGCCACTGCACTCCAGTATGGGCAACAGAGTGAGACTCCAACTCAAAAAAAAAAAAAAAAGATACAGTAATCTATGTTCTCATCAGTACAAGAGACAAGAATTTAATATAAACAAAGTTTTTGAACATAATAGTAGAATGTAAAAAATGCTAGATAAAATACTGTGTACATTTCTAGGGGTGACCCAGCCACCCATAATACATTTGTTGAGTATTTCCTCTGTATGTCACATAGTGCTAGGTATATGGAAGAAAACAAGAAAAGAAAGTTTCCCTTTTGAAAAAACTTATATTCTCATAGGAAAGCACAGTAACCAAAGAGAGTAAGATTTTACCAAGTACAGTATACCAGACATCGGTACCTATTAAGTACAAGGGAAATGCTATAAATGACATAAAAGCAACCCTGAGAATCAGGAAACAAACAGCAATTGTTATAAACTTGGAAGAATGTGCTACCTTAAATGCTACCATCTTTAAAATTATCCACTACCTTTAAAATTATGGGAAGTAGTGTGTGAGATCATTTTAGTTGTACAAGGTCAAGGTATGAAATAACACTAAAGTTACTTTCTTTTAAAGTATCTTTCAGTTTTTCTGACTATTTCAAGGAGAAAGTCTCAATTTGCTGCTGGTATGTCTCTTACACTTACGTATCACTTCTAATAGACAGTTTTAGACCTTCAGCATATACATTTTTTTTTACTGTTTATTTTAGGACAAGTTTTTACATACATATAGCAAGTGCTAGGGTGTACTGTACCTTATAACTAATTTTAGTTAATATTTCACTTTATATCCACTTTACAACCCTGAAGAAACACAAAAGGAATACTGCTCTATCCTTTCTTGATCACATGCCTGACATTGTAACCAGGACCACCAAGCTTTCTTTCTCCAAGAACAATAAATAAGTCCTTGCATAAGGTCTGGTGTAAACTGCTATAGTCAAAAAATGTCTGAAGTTTCTACTCAACAAAATAAAGAAAATAAAGCATAATGTTTTACCTTGAGAGAATCTGGGGGAGAAAAAAAGTGATAGGTTTCCTTACAAAACAACTTTTATGCTGCCAGAAAGGGGGCCTTCCTAATCCCACACTTTAACCCCTTGAAACAGGTATACTAGTACTCTTCTCCATTCTGACCTTTCCAATACTTGTTTACATGCATTTGTCCACCAGATGCGAACTCGTTGTGGGCACAATCCCTGCCATTTTTAACTTTTTGACTCCCAGGCTAAATGATCCCCTGTAGATACTCAATATGTGTTTGTTGGATGTATGACCTGTGTCTGGATTAGGTCTTATACTTAACTCTTCTTTTTATTAAAAGACATATTGATTTAATATTAAGACATTGATAGTACAAGTCCTACACACTTATTTATGAATCTAGAGTGCCCACTAAGTTATGAATAACTCCCCGTAAATCCTCAACTTATAAGACATAGGCCTTAAGTGCTATAATAATGAAAATGCCATTAGCTTTGCATCTACTTCAAAAAGGCATTTTTTGTATTAAAATATCGAATTAAATGCAATGTCAGTTTTTCTCTTTAAAACTCTATTTTTGAACTGTATTTTATATTGGGAGAAAGTTCTGATGATTCCATTGATGAAATATGAATTCATTATGTATAGACCACTTTGGGAAAAATAATGCTGTATAAAATTTGAGCTGACATGAATACAACAAAAGAAATATGTTAAATTTCAACAAAGGACATATTTTTATTAACACACAAAACTTAAAACACTAAACAAGGCAATCCAAGCTCAAAATGTCTTTCTTAATGTTGACTTTTCCAGCTCTCTATACATGCTCATTAAGAATTTCAACATTCCATATTCTTCAATTTTATAACCTAGAAGAACTTCATTAAGTAGATGCCAGCTTACTAGGGCTTACTAAGTAATATAAAGTTACCAAGGTGAATCACAAAAGAGTTATGTTTGTTGCTCCACTATCTTCAGCTAACATTTTAAAGTCAAACTTGGCTCCTTCTCAATCAAGTCTCTAGAATTTCCAAGGGTATCACATCAAATTTGTCCTCGATCTCCTCCAAGACTACTTTCTCAGTAACATAGTAACACCTTCTCCAATCTATAAACCAGTACTAATATTTTTCAACTAAAACTTTTCAACATAAAATTAAGGATCCTTTGAATACATGCCATGATGATTACATTCCCCAAACCTTACAACCCATAATGTAGCTAAACCTGAGCTATTTCCAAGAAAAGACAATGTCAGGAATGGCAGTGAAGCCTCAGCCTCTCTCCCTTTCTAGGCAGCAAGAAAGTTAGGATTTGTATATATGCCTTTCCCCACAGCATGGCCAGATCTGACTTTAAGACAGGAGGAAGTGGAAGGTTGGGCAGTGTGGGACAGGAATTCAATGGCAACACCCCTGACGTTAAGTAAGGTACAGTATGTGTGTCGCCAGAGGGGTGGAGAAATATAAGGTTGGAAGGGAAAGAGAGGTGGTGCTGGTGGTTGTCCTAAGAGGCAATTAGTATAACAGCTACTTTAGAATGGGCAGGGTGAATTTCTGCATGCAAATGCCCTCAAAAAAAAAAAAAAAAAAAAAGCCAGAGAATATTTACATTAAGTTTTTGCATACCTATAATTTCATTGTTTCTGCATGCTCAAAAGGTATTCATTTTTAGGCAGAAAGCTCCCATCATGTGGGCCTACTAACTTATTAGAGCATCTACAGCATGGCATCACCATATTGTGCCATGCATGTGTAAGGATAAGAAATATTCTTGCAACCTCAACAGACAGCCGTTACCTTAAATAATACATTTTGTTTTGAACGTGGTTCCTAACAAACACTGAAAACCACGTGTCTCCCGTTAGGAAGTATATCACCACCCCGTTTCCCAAAAGTTCACTTTCAAAGTAAGCGTCACAATGTAAATATTTCTCTCTAAATACCCAGTCTGACATCCATGCATTTACTCTCCTCACTCATTTTTAACAGAGCGGGGATTCCCTCCCCTGGGATCAACGAGGAAAAGTAATCTCCCCCTTAGTATTAACTTACCTAGGACGGAGTAAAAAAATAACCACCACAAAACCCAGGGCTCTGAAACAGCCCAAAGCCCAGAGGCGGGTTCCGACGTCAACAGAGTGGACCGGAGGAAGCTAAGCACGGCACGCCCCGGCCTGCAGGTGGGGGAGTGTTGAGTCTGGGTTTCAGGGCATTTCGGAACAAGCCGCGGAGTG